CATGCATATAAGAATAACCAATGGACACAAGACACTAGGGGGTAGGGGAGGCCGGGGGAATGTCAAGGGGGGGGAAAAGGAGACATATGTAATACTCTTTGTAATACTTTAAGAAATAAAAATTATAAAAAAAAATACTTAGAAAGTTAAACGTCTCTAGTTAGTAAATAGACACTTAAGAGTATTCTTTGTCTATCAATTTATCAAGGTTGAATAAACTTAAGAATTACATTCAGTGCTAAGACTGTTGAGATGGCCTCTCTCACATTACTATAAAGGGCTAGCGGCATGATTTTTCTAGAAAGCAATTTGGCAGTAACTTTCTAGAACTTTAAAAATGTTTATATACTTTAACTAAGTTCCACTTCTAGGAATATAGCTTTAGGAAGGAATCAAAGAAACGAAAAATATTTATGGGACCACTGAACAAATGTAAATATTCAATAATAGGAGTCTAGTTCAAAAAAGCATGAAACATCCATGTAATAGACTTAATTCAAAGCAGCCATGCAAAATCTTATTTCTGAAGAATTTAACAGCATGGGAAAATGCTCATGCTATCAAAGAAAAGCAGGACAAAATGGGATTCCAAAGATAGTATATAGCTTAACAGATAATATATAAACACGTAAAATACATAGCATTTAAGTAGTACTTAACTACATGTATGGGTGTGTATGTGTTTGTATATGTAGATAGACAAGGAGAGGTATAGAGCCTATGTGACCCTGGACAAGTCACCCTATCACCTTGCCTATTGTATTCATAATATGAAAAGATATGTGCACGAACAAACCCTTCTCTTCCAGGTAACTCATGGAAAAGCTGGAGGAAAATATGTCAAAATGGTAAAAAAAAAGGTATTCCCTTATTGAAAAGTTTGTTTTTTCTTCTTACGCTTTTCTAAATTTTTGAAAAATTTAAATACTAAGAATGTATCAAAATACATTCCTGCAAACAGTATGTGGTATTTTCACACAGAACTGGAGTAGAAACAAAGTGGGTAGACTTTGGTGTCAGATGCAGCTGGGTTTCAGCCCTGGCTTTGTCTTTGTCTTGCTGCATGACAGAATGAATTGCCACAATCTGTGTCACATTAGTTTCCTTGTCTGTAAAATGGAGATGATAACTGTACCTCTCTCCTGGCATGGTTTTAAGGAGTATAGATAACATGTAAAGTGCTTGGTTGCCTGTCTAGCACAGAGTATTTTGTCAATGCCTGCTATCGTTATCACCTCCCTAATTCTTTTATTTGTCCCCTGTTGATTGTTAACTTGCTGAGATGTTTAGTTTCCAATTTTACATAAAAACAGGGACTGACTTTATGTTTCCTTAGAACAGTATTTTGCTCATAGCTGGCTTTTCTTTCTTTGACTACTTCTTTTCCCCAACACTGTTACACACGATGCTGTACTGGTCATATGATAAGGCTGGTTGATAAGTCATGTGTCATAGAGAGACTTTTCCACGAGTTACCTGGAAGAGACAGGTTTGTGTGTGCATGTATCTTTTCTTATTATGAATACAATAGGCAAGGTTAATAGGGTGACTTGTCCAGGGTCACAAAGTCTCTACACCTCTCCTTGTCTATCTACTGTATCATATGCCTCATAAAAATATATGATTCTGAAGACTGCAGAGGGCTCCCTACATTTGAATTATGGCTTCTTGTAGCTTCTTCACAGCAATATCGAGGACTGTCTTCCATTTCAGAATTTCGAATTTTGTGTGAGGATAGTGAAAGATCCAACCTTTAAAAAAAAAAGACATTAACAAAAAAGGGATATTTATTTCAAAATTTACCCCAAGTCAGTACTCACTGGGTAAATCCTGCCCATCAGTCTACCAAAGCCTACTTGAAAAGGGAACCAAAATCCATTTATATTAAAGTATAAGTAATTATCAGCTTAAGAATTACCTGTCCTCAAGGAGGTTTGCTCTAAAATGTGATCAAGACTTTAACTCCAAGGAATTAAACCCCTATGATGACATCTGAAGTATTAGAGGCCTTTCAAGAATCCCTACACACTCTGGAGACCTACAGATGAGGGTCTTCAGTTTCCCCGTCTCAGGAAAGAATCCCGTGTACTGGAGAGAACATTTTATTGGTAGTCTATAGATTTGGGTCCTTTTCCTGACTATCCCACTAATCTGTTTGGGTACTCAACATCTTTAGGCTTCAGATTGCTCATCTGTAAAACGAGAGAACCGAATGACATGATCTCTAAGGCCCTTCAGTTCTAATGTTCTCCCCTTGTAAAATTCTACCCTTGTAGTGAACATATGGAAAGATTCACAGATGGCTTGAAGGAATTTGGAAGAGAAAACTTTGCCTTTTCTTTATTCCATCCTGCCAAGTCTAGTCCATTCAATAAACCAGTAAATTACATATGGAAGAAAAATTTAAAAATGAAGATATGAAGGGGGTGGAAGGCATGGAATCTTACCACACAAGCACTGTTATTGTTTTGGTGTAGCTTCTTCCAAATACTGTTTATTCTGTCTTCAGATCTTTTGCCTTAACCACAAACTCTTCATTTGGCCATAACTCCAGGTGAAATTTTGAATCAAGACATTGTATCTCTTCTCTGCTTTTGTCCTCACCTCCATTCCCCACCCTACCCCTAAGTTAAGGGCAGGATTTCTTCTCTTCCAAAACAATGGATCTACTTGACTTTTCTTACTTTGAGGTATCGTCCCAATCCCATCCCATGGGATTCAAGTTGGGCTGACAATAATATGTTCTAGCAACCCGTGAGCCAATGACCCAGGTTTGACCAACAGCATTACTTTATTTCCCAGGAAACTATGATTGGCCATAGGGTGAGCACTTGACTCAAACAGAGCTAATCTGAGTCATTATTTAGAACTGAAACATGGGCCTTGGGTGGGAAGGGGAAGGAGAGCACTTTCTTCCTAAGCTGGAAGCACATGAACCTATGGCTGGCAGTGACCGTATTTACTATGTGGGGTGAGCCTAACTGTAGAATTCAACCAAGCAGAGGTGGAAAGAACATGGTGAGTCCCACATCCTGCCTTGGACACTGTTCCTGCAATTTTTCCTTTAATCTTCTGAGCTAGCATCTAAGACATGAGCAAATAATTCTCTTGTTGCTTAAGCGCGTGTGAGTTGGGTTCTTGTGGCTTACTGCCTAAAGATTCCAGGCTCATCCCCCCAGGACCAAGAGAACCATCCTAACTTTAGACTGGAAGGACCGAACAAGCACCATCACTGGATTCCTTAGGATTAGATAATGTAAGTTTTTCTAGCCTCCCACTTTGAGATTTCAATCTCTGACCTTCAATGATAAGGCCTTGCTCCTTGTTCACAGGTTATCTAGTGGGCTGGCCACTGCTTGCCATCCAATTGCTTGCTGGGGGATTTCCAGTCATTGGATTTTACCCACGTATTTGGATTCTTTGACATTTTCATCTAGAATTTTCTCATTACCTTAAGATTTACTTCATTCCTATTTGCTGTTTTGCCATACCTACTGGCTTGTTCTTAGCATATGCACCTGGGTCTAGTTCCTCAATATCTGTCCCACCCCAGTGAGACAGTTCTAGTTTTAAATTTTGATCCCTCAACACATCAAATTCAGAAGTATAAATAGAGAATGGGGAGCTGTGGAAGGAACACTTATCACTAGACACATTATCTAAAAGCCGATCCTTTCAACTATTTTTAAGGTTGTTAGGACTATGATAAAAAGGCCATGAAAAGCAAATCTATAAGACGTATGGCAGTCAGCCTCAACTCTACTGATTCTCTGAGCTATACAGCTATGTTATGTTTGTGTCCCAAGGAATAATAAGTTTTCCTTTTCCTAACAACCCATATCTTATCCCTTTTATAACTTCATTCAGGTATAGAGAGCATTCTATCTAGATTTGGGCAACCATAAACTTTCTTGGGCAGTCTCCTTTATAACATGTAAACAATTTAAGAATCTATTTTTGCCTTTAACACAGAAGCCTTGGTTCCAAACCCAGAATGGTAGGTTTTTGTGTTGGAAGGGCCCTGGGTTGCTCTTCTAGGGACATAAATGTCATTGTTACCTAAACTAGTTCCTCAAAATCATGAAGGAAAAACTCATAGGGTACAGGAGTGGAGAAACCAGGAAGAGCTGGGTTAGATGGTGATACCTTTGAAAAGTTTGACTTCAAATCTATGATTGTGGTACTAAGACGATGTCTGGGAGAAAGGCTTCAAATTCAGTGAATGGAAGTGATTCTCACTCTGGTTGCTCATCAAAATTGACCCTGATTTGGGTGGGTAAAGGGATCTTACCATTTTCTAAACAGATCTTGGATGACAGTGAGAAGTGAATGACAAAAGGTAAATTGCTTTCCTGGAAGATCTGGGAATACTGCTTTTGGCCGACAACATCTAAGGGAAAAAAAAGAAGAAGATGAGGAGAGGGGAAGGAGAAGAAAAAGAGCATTTTGCTAGATTGTCAAAAAAAAGCCCAATTGTCAATATTTTAATATTTTTATGAAGGTATTAGTTTGGTGAAGGCCAAGGGAGGGAGAGGCAGGGGTGGGTGGAGATGGGCAAAGGGGAAGGGGCAGAAAGGGGGACACCTGCATTAATTTTTTAAATTAAAAATTAAAATTTTTAATTAAAAAAAGAGAAAAGCATAAAAATACACTGGAAGAAAATATTTGCAAAGCACATTTACAACAAAGGACTAATATCTAGAATATATAAAGAACTCTGAAAACTCAACAATAAGAAAGTAAACGCCCTAGCCAGTTTTGCTCAGTGGATAGAGCATTGGCCCACAGACCGAAGTGTTCCGGGTTTGATTCTGGTCAAGGGCACGTACCTCTGTTGGGTTGCAGGCTTCTCCCCAGCCAGGGAGCTGGTCAGGACATATGCAGGAGGCAACTAATCGAGTGTTTATCTCACATCGATATTTCTCTCTGTCTTTCCCTCTTTCTTCCATTCTCTCTCTAAAACAAATAATCAATGGAAAAATATCCTTGCGTGGATTAAAAAAATTTTTCTCTTAAAAATAAAAAGGAAGCAAACAATCCAGTTAGAAAATGAGCAAAGACATAAAAGACATTTTACTGAAGAGGATATATAGAGGACACATATTCCACATCATTAACCATTAGAGAAATGCAAATTAAAACCACAGTGAAGGACCTGGCCGGGTAGCGCAGTTGGTTACAGTGTCGTCCCAATACACCAAGGTTGCAGGTTCGATCCCAGGTCAGGGCACATACAAGAATAAAGCAATGAATGCACAAATAGGTGGAACAACAAATCAATATTTCTCTGTCTCTCTTTCTCTCTTTCTCTCTCCCCCCTTCCCCTCTCCAAAACCAACAAAAAAAAAAAAAGCATGAATAAAATCACACTGAAATATCATTACATGTCTATAAGAATGGCTAAAATAAAAAAAGGTGATGACATACACATACTGGCAAGGATGTCACTCATACATTGCTGATGGAAATGTAAACAGTACAGCTTCTCGAAAAAACAGTTTGGCATTTAACAGTTTGGCACTTAACATATAAAAGTAAACATGAGATTAACATGTGGCCCAGCACCTGTTCTTCTGGGTATTTATCAAAACTTATATTTACACAAAAACATGTATACAAATGTTTTAGCAGCTTTCCTAATAGACAAAAGGTGGAAGGAAGGAAGCAAGGAAGAAAAGGAGGGAGGGAGGGAAAAATCCAGATGTCCTTCAAGGAGTGGATGGTTAAACAAATTGTGATACATTCATACTGCAGAATATAGCTGAGCAATAAGAAGGACAAATTATTGATACATGTAACCTGGATGAATCTCTGAGAATTAAGCCAGTTGGAAAAAAAGGCTATCACCAAAAGTTATACATTGTATGATTCTAGTTCATATAATCTTGAAGTGACAAAAATATTAAAATGGGGTACACATTGGTGGTTGCCAGGGTTAAAGAGGGGGTAGGGCAGGAAGAACATAGTCTTGGCTGCAAAAGGACATGAGTGATCCTTGTGGTAATGCAAGTATTTTGAATCTTGACTGCATCAATAGCCTGGTTGCGATACTATACAATAGTTTTGCAAGATGTTGCCATGTGGGGAAAAAAAAATGGGTAAAGGGTATATGTGATCTTTCTACATTATTTGTTATAACTGCATGTGTGTCTGTAATTACCTTAGAAATAAAAGTTTAATTTTAAAAAATTACTTATGTGGCTAGCATCATTTTTCTGTTGGACCATGCTACTGTTGAGAGAATTTGTAAGATCTCCCGACACAAAGGCTTCATATCACATGGATATGAAGCGTAATGAATGCTATATTGAACTGAAAGCACTATATTTTTCTATCTGCCCAGCCAGTGTGACTCAGTGGTTGAGCGTCAACCTATGAACCAGAAGGTCACGGTTCAATTCTCAGTCAGGGCACATGCCTGGGTTGTGGGCTTGATCCCAGTGTGGGGTGGGGTGGGCAGGAGGTAGCCGATCAATGATTCTCTCTCATCACTGATGTTTCTATCACTCTCTTCCTCTCCCTTCCTCTCTGAAATCAATAAAAATATTTTTAAAAAATTATGTCTTACTGCTGACATTCATGAATTACTAAAATGATTAACACAAACCAAATATCACTATAATATAACCAAATACAATGTTCTGTCAATATCTCACTTGCTACTTTTATCCTTTTTTTCTTATTTATAAATCTAATTAGTAATTTCTACTTACGTATTTTTTTCATAGAATTCATTGATACAAAATGGCGCCAATCTCTTTTTGTTTTCATCAGAAGATTTTCCTTATGACATTCTATTCTTGGATAGTTGCTGATTTTGTCAACTATCATGGAACTGGAAGTGCTTTGCAAGGCATCCTGTTTCTTCAACATTGACATTTTGGTTTCATATTTATTAGCTTCTTCAATGAGATCATGCCAACTGTAATTCACAAGATTTACAATTCCTACAGGGAAAGCAATATTATACTCAGCATATATCTGCAATGTCTCCCCAAGTTCACACAGTAATTCAGCAGCAATGTCTTTGTATTCTTCAAGCAGACTCTTCTGCATTTGTATTTTGGAGAATGTAACGTTAGGAGGAAACTTGGAAACAACAGGAGTTGGTGAGATGGCAAATGACTGAAACGCATATTGCTTCTTCGATGCAGCTTCTATAGATAGACTTGGTTTCTCATCTACTTCTTTAGAGTTAATACTCTCTGTAGGACTGTGAAAAACATATGTGAGACTTAAAGATATTGAATACTTTTTTTAATATATATTTTATTGATTTTTTACAGAGAGGAAGGGAGAGGGATAGAGAGCTAGAAACATCAATGAGCGAGAAACGATCAGCTGCCTCCTGCATGCACCCCACTGGGGATGTGCCCGCAGCCAAGGCACATGCCCCTGACCGGAATCGAACCTGGGACCCTTGAGTCCGCAGGCCGATGCTCTATCCACTGAGCCAAACCGGTTAGGGCAAGATATTGAATACTTTTTAACCTAGTAATTTGACTTCTAGAATTCATCTTAAAATATAATTTAAAAGATGTATAGCAGCGGTTCTCAACCTGTGGGTCGCGACCCCTTTGGGGGTCGAACGACCCTTTCACAGGGGTCGCCTCAGACCATCGGAAAACACATATATAATTACATATTGTTTTTGTGATTAATCACTATGCTTTAATTATGTTCAATTTGTAACAATGAAATTGGGGGTCACCACAACATGAGGAACTGTATTAAAGGGTCACGGCATTAGGAAGGTTGAGAACCACTGATGTATATCATCTGTGTATAAAATTGCAAATTGTAACATTATTTTTTTATATTAGTAAAAATTGAAAAGAACCTAATAGCTCATAGGAATATTGCTAAGTAAGTAAATAATTCCATACCCAAACAATGTATAGCAATAAAAATTGTTTGTAAAATTTCTCTTAATAATTTTGGGAAATGATTATGTTATATAAAAAAGATACACAATTACATATGTGGAATGATCTCAATTGTATAATGTATATATCATATATCTGGTAGTAAAGAGCCTAAGCAAATGTCCACCAAAAAGGAAATTAATTGTGGGATTACAGAAGTCATTTTTTATTTTCTCCTTTTATACTTCATGCTCTTCTAACTTTTCCACAATAAACATTTTTGTTTATACACAGAAGAAAAAACCCAATATATGTGTGTCATTTATTCATTTGTCTAATTATAAGACAAGACATAGATCATTTCTTCCAGAAAGGCTTCCCTGAATTTCTTAGGTTCTAAGTCTACAAACTTATTGTGTTCCCTTAACCCAGTGGTCGGCAAACTCATTAGTCAACAGAGCCAAATATCAACAGTACAACGATTGAAATTTCTTTTGAGAGCCAAATTTTTTAAACTTAAACTATATAGGTAGGTACATTCAACTTTAAATTCACGGTTTTCGTCTTCCGTTTTTCTTTGCTGCTTCTTTGTAGCCATCTCAAACAGGGCACCTAAAAAAATGTTTCATTTTATAATAATAAAGCCACCAACACAAAAGAATTACAATTCTTAAACTGATGACAAAAATCTGTAGGATCTGCAGCTGGTTGGAGAAATACAGGTAACTTTATGCTTCGAGTAGGTACTTTTGTCACCTGCACGCGATTTGCGGAGGCGACTAGCACTAACCACTGCTCCATGAGACTGCTGACTGACTGGCTCACTAAACTCGTGCATGAATGGCGCACTGTGTATCTTGCGGCCCGCCTGCGCCGCCTCTCCTGTCACCCTACCAACCGACACCCCCCACTTCTTCTAATGACACTTCTTCAAAATAGACTCGCCCAGGCCAAAAACCGAATTCTGCGCACGGGCCACAAAGTTTCAATCGCATTGTACGTGCACGCCCACATGTGGTATTTTGTGGAAGAGCCACACACAAGGGGCAAAAGAGCCGCAGGTGGCTCGTGAGCCTCGGTTTGCCGACCACTGCCTTAACCCATCCAACACAACCCTATCAGATGTTACTGTATTTGAGAGAAGACAGAAATCCAAACAGGTAACCCTCATATTCCCCACGACCCCCTTTGTAGGAGGTTAGGTGCAGGGAGAGGGAATTTACCAAATCTAGAAGAGGCATCTGAGAAGCTTAGAGACTGATGAGGACTTTTGATAGCTGGGGCAGTTTGGAGGGGGAGCGCTATGGTTTTAAAATTTGGAATGTTCTCCTCTAAACCAGTTGTTCAAATATTTCTAAGAAAGCTGCCCTCGTCATCACAATTTCTTTATTACTGAATGTATTAGGGTTATATTGATTAGTAAAATTATATAGGTTTAAAGTGTACAATTCTATAATACCTCACATGTATATCATGCCTCTTTCCAGCACCATTTATCACCCCTATAAACTATCCTACCTCCCCCCACTCCTGTTTGTCATTACAATTTCAAAATGTTTTCTTTCACCAAGTCAATGTGGTGAAACATGTCAACACCACCCGATGGACTTTATAAAATGGTACAGAGCATTAAAGAGTCACTTACATCTTTCTCCTAAATGGTGGTTACATTAACATAGTTTGAAAAATAACATTGGTTTCTCAACTGAGGGTTTAATGTAAAAAGGCAACTTTTTTAGATCAAAAGGTATTTGAATTGGAATAAGAATTGTAAATGTAGATCTTTAGGCATTGGTTATATTTTCACATTAATATTTTTTAGATGGAAGACCTATTTTTGAAAACTTTAAACATAATATTATTATTATAACTCATACATTTCTATATCCCATTATAATAAACTTTCAAAGTTGCTCTCATAACATCATTTCTCCAAACTCTAATACTAAACCTATGAGGCAGCTACTGTGTTATCTCAATTTTATGGTATTTTCTTTGCAACATTCTGTAAATATGCATTTACAACTCTCAGATTTATCTATTGCTCAAATAAAAGAATAAAACTACTTAAAATAACAATAACTGTAATACCTTCCATTTATTAATTGCCTCAATATGTAAGTACAGTCAATAATTATACCTCCTTCAGAAGGATATTAAGAAGGTTAAGAAATTTAATACATATTTAAAAATAATATTTATATATCTGGTTTATTTTAATGAAAGGTGAATTTATTAAACAAAAGTAGTATGTAGAAAGTTTGAACATATTTTTTTTCCCTTTTTTTCTCCTATTGACCTTCCCCCGGCCTCCCCCCCCACCCCGTGTCTTGTGTCCATTGGTTATGCTTATATGCATGCATACAAGTCCTTCGATTGATCTCTTACCCCACCCCCCCAACACTCCACAGCCTTCCCGCTGTAATTTGACAGTCTGTTCGATGCTTCTCTGCCTCTGTATCTATCGTTTTGTTCATTAGGTTATAATATTCTTTATTATCCATAAATGAGTGGGATCATGTGTTATTTTTCTTTCACTGCCTGACTTATTTCACTTAGCATAATGCTCTCCAGTTCCATCCATGCTGTTGCAAATGGTAAGAATTCCTTCTTTTTTACTGCAGCGTAGTATTCCATTGTGTAATTTACCATAGTTTTCAAATCCACTCATCTACTGATGGGCATTTAGGCTGTTTCCAAATCTTAGCTATTGTAAATTGTCCTGCTATGAACATAGGGATGCATATATCCTACATGTATCTGACCAAATTTCCCAGCACCATTTATTAAAGAGACTGTTTTGACTCCATTGTATGCTCTTGCCTCCTTTGTCAAATATTAATTGAGTATAATGGCCTGTGTCAATTGCTGGATTCTCTATTCTGTTCCATTGGTCTATAAGTCTGTTCTTGTGCCAGTACTAGGCAGTTTTGAGAACCGTGGCTTGGTAATATAGTTTGATGTCTGGTACTATGATCCCTCCAACTTTGTTGTTCTTTCTCAGGACAGCTGTGACTATTCTGGGTCTTTTTTATGCCAGATGAATTTTTGGAGAGTTTGTTCTAGATCTTTGAAATATGCCGTTGGTATTTTAATAGGTATGCATTGAATTCTATAGATTGCTTTAGGTAGTATGTACATTTTAATGATGTTGATTCTACCAATCCATGAACACAGTATATTCTCCCACTTGTTTATATCATTTTTTTTTTTACATGTATCTGACCAAATTTCCCAGCACCATTTATTAAAGAGACTGTTTTGACTCCATTGTATGCTCTTGCCTCCTTTGTCAAATATTAATTGAGTATAATGGCCTGTGTCAATTGCTGGATTCTCTATTCTGTTCCATTGGTCTATAAGTCTGTTCTTGTGCCAGTACTAGGCAGTTTTGAGAACCGTGGCTTGGTAATATAGTTTGATGTCTGGTACTATGATCCCTCCAACTTTGTTGTTCTTTCTCAGGACAGCTGTGACTATTCTGGGTCTTTTTTATGCCAGATGAATTTTTGGAGAGTTTGTTCTAGATCTTTGAAATATGCCGTTGGTATTTTAATAGGTATTGCATTGAATCTATAGATTGCTTTAGGTAGTATGTACATTTTAATGATGTTGATTCTACCAACCCATGAACATGGGATATTCTTCCATTTGTTTATGTCTTCCTCTATCTCTTTTTTCAATGTCCTGTAGTTTTCCAAGTACAAGTCTTTTACATCCTTGGTTAAGTTTATTCCTAGGTATCTTAGTTTTTTTTGGTGCAAAGGTAATGGGATTGTTTTTTTCATTTCTCTTTCTGTGAGTTCATTATTGGTGTATAAAAAGGCCATAGATTTCTGGGCATTAATTTTGTATCCTACTACATTGTCAAATTCATTTATTAGGCTTAGTAGTTTATTGATGAAGTCTTTGAGGTTTTCTATGCATAGTATCATGTCATCTGCTAATAAGGACAGTTTTACTTCTTTTCCAATTTGGATGCCTTTTATTTCTTTTTCTTGTCTGATTGCTATAGTTAGTACTTCTAGTACTATGTTGAACAGGAGTGGTGAGAGGGGGCATCCCTGTCTTGTTCCTGTTTTTAGGGGGAATGGTTTTAGTTTTTGCCCATTGATTATGATGTTGGCTGTGGGTTTGTCATATATGGCTTTTATTATGTT